TGGCTTTAGGGGCAATGCTCATCTCTGTTCCTAGGCCATTGAGCCAGTGCTGTCTGAAGATGTTTCTGTGGTCATCTGGCTACCATGGCATCACACTGCAGCACAGAGTGTCCAGTGAAACACCTTCCCACTGAAATGATACCTAATTATGTACTCGCATTTGTATGCTTTCAAATTGCTAGGTCAGCAAGAGCTGGGGTGAGTAACAGAAGCTCACTCCATCATGCAACACTCAGTTCTCAAACCTGGACTGTCAGCTTTCCATCCAACAAGCCCAGTATCTTAACCATTAAGCCATTGGGACACCTATGGAACATAGTCCGATAAATTCTAAATATTATTTTTGTTGTACTAGCCATAGTTAAAAGTGAACTGACACGCTTCCTATAGAAGTTGAGACACTTTCCCATTGTTTAGGCAGTATAATAACCTCTAATTCCTTATTCCCCTCATATTTAACATCTGCATATAAAATTGATTTATTGATAACAAATATCTTTAGAAACTAATGGTATAATTTGAGTTTTAAATGATTTAACCAGTGTCCATGTATCTTGGGTACATGGACCCATGGTAGAAGCTGAAAAAGCTGCTGTTCCAAAAAACATTGTTAGCAAATATTGAAGCTGCAACTATTGCCACTACGTTATGTCTGATAGATCAGGGGTGCCAACTGGTGGCCCATGGGTTGGATGTATCACATGCAGGCCATGCCCATCCCAGCTCCACAAAAAGGCATCGTGACGGCAACATGACACAGCGAGTTTGACAACGGTGTGATAGATGATGTTTGTCTCTTAGCACAGTACGTTAAAAACGCATCCTCATATTTATCAATTGGTTCAAAGTCAATATCCCACTTTCATCCAATTTTTCCCTATTGCCATCTTTCCCCCAATTTTTAATGTTGGATTTTTCTCATAAAGTCAATTTAGCATGGGAAAAAGGATCAAAATTTCTTTTTAGACATTACATTTCTAACTGATATATTTCCAGAGATACTAGAGTTTTAGTATATTTAGATCCTAATACCATCCATCCAATCAAAGGTACTATACCTATATTCAAAAGTTGCCCAAATCAGGACACCAATTGTTGGCTTCCAGTATTAAGCCTTGATAATAGGTAAGCTTAGTAGTACACCACCAGATTTGGAAAAAGAAATTCTCCCTCACTAAGTGTACTTTCTGTAAAGATTTTCTCAGAATTGAAAGAAAACCATAAAACAAAGACATTACTTTCTAAAAATATTTTCCAGATATATGAACAGGAATTCCTCTCCGAATAAAATTAATTTGGGAATAATATTCAGACAGAGCCTGTTGAAGAGAAATAACAGAAGTCTATTTGTTGCAATAGTGAGATTTCCCATTATGAAATTAATACCTTAATGCTCATCTGTTTCTTGGCCAATGAAGCCAGCATTGTCTGAAGACATTTTCTATGGTGATGTGATCATCATGGCTATACACCAAAGGCATATGGAACACTATTACCTTCCCATCAAAGTGGTACCTATTAATCTACTTGCATTTGCATGCTTTCAAACTGCTAGGTGGGCAGCAGGTGGGGCAAGGAATGGGAGCTCATCCCACTGTGCAGTGTTCAGGTCTCAAACCGAAACTGTCAGCTTTCCATCTGACGAGCTCAGTGTCTTTAACTGCTGAGTTATTACACTGCTTTTTGGATTTGTATTATAATAAAATAATAAAGAATTGTTAAGATGATGAATTAAAAATAGCCCTGCTCTCTAGGACACAATGTGACACACAATGTTATAGTAAGCATGTTTACCTGAAAGTATGTTCTTCAAAGAAAATGGGACCTACTTTCTTGTATATGTTCTCAAATTGTGCAGCTAAATACTTGTACTAATAATTAGATATTACCCCCTAGGAGGTACTGTGCATCTTAATATACTAGAGGGCATGGTTCATGGCTTGTGGTGAAGCAACAATTCAAAATGAACACTGATCTATGTTGGCTTATATTAATTCCACCATGGTCTTATATAGGACAAACTTCTCCAACCTACTGTCATTCAGATATGGTCAGCTTCTAAAATATATCATTGTTGGAGAAGGTTACTCTAGGACCATGATGGCAAACCTATGGCTAGAATTGACACACAGAGCCATCTCTCCGAGCATGCCAGCCATTGCCTGTTGGCCTTCCGGGTTCCAGCACACACATGTACACTGGCCAGATGGTCTTCACACATGTGGGACTGCCGGAAACCAGAAGAGCAGCTCCCTGGTGTGCGTGTGCATACACATGCTGGGAAGGTGAGCTTCTGGTTTCCAGTGCATACATATGTGCTGGACAGTTGGCCTTTGTGCACGCATGCGTGCCAGAAACTGGAAGGCCAGTGAGCTGCTCTTCCGGTTTCCAGCACTCCCAGGTATGCACGCTCCCGTTTCGGCACTCAGTGCCAAAAAGGTTCACCAATACTGCTCTAGGGAGATCAAGCAAAGGGAACTTGAGGATGATCTACAATAGTTGAGGATAATAGGAACTGGCAGATTTGTTTATCTTAACAATGTCTCTTTCTTTATTCCCATGTAAATGAATGTTTGTCATTCATCCCAACAAGGTTAATTAAAGAATAGCTTTTTTTAGTTTTATTGCAGTAAGATCAGTATGTAAATCCCTCCCACTACTGGTTGATTTCATTGATGTGGCCCTTCTAGAATTGCAAAAGAAGCTCTTTCCTTCTACCCAAGATAATGACTGATTGCTGCTGCACTAGAATTATAATATGCGGTTCTATATATGAAAGCAGTCATATTGCATTTTAACAGAAATACATTTGCGGTTTCTTTTGAAGCTAGTAACTTTGTGAGATTCCAATTTTGGATTAATTTGAAAAGGGTAGTTCTTGCTTTCCCGACTTTCATAAATGATAAGAAATGATCCATCGCAACATGGTAAAAGAGCATAAAGTGCTTTGCCCTGGGAGGTAAATACATTTTTTAGTATCACATCACGGTACAGAGGGGAAGACAAAGGCATGCAAATGTGGCATAACAATTTGGGTAGGTGGATCATAGCTGAGCCCCCTTTGGCTCAGCCAGGCATGGGCCACATTAAGAATAGGCTCAGACTAGGCAAGGATGTCTTGATGTGATTAAATTGCTTTTTTTTCATATTCCTGATAGCATAGTAACACACATAGCAAATGTATGCTATACTTGTAAAATGGCTTCTTCCCATTCAGCACTCTATAGATGGATAGGGGCATTTATACTCTCATTTTCTGTAGATAGTATAATGGGGAACACAGTCCCAACATTGGAAGCCCCGAGTTGCAGAATGGTGCTATGGAAGTGGACTTTGAACAGAGTGCAGAAAGTGCATACAACTGTGGAGCGTGAGAGGGAGGGGCAAGACTCCTGGAAAAATAATGGATTTCTGAAACATTAATCCCATATTATTACCAGGAGAAAGGAACCACCATTACACAGCTATTGGTTGTTTCTGATAGGGCTGCTCCCTCATTCTGCTTAGCCTTGTTTTTCTGCCACCCAAGCAGAAAACACCCTGGTCTTGAGTAAGACACCTTGTTGGGTGGTGCAGGTGAGCTCTAGGCTTTTGTTATTAGGCAGCTACATGATGGAAAAGAATATATTAGCAGGGCCTATTATCTATGCCTACCGATCAGAGCATCCTTTCTAGCTCGTAATTCAGTTGTGAGTGATGGGGAAAACACTGGGGCAGTTTATTTCTTGAGGATGTGTCATATGAAAGCTAAAAAAAATCACTCATTCTCTGGGTTGAAATATTTTCCTTGGCTGTCACCCTTGGAGCAGCACTAGCACCACCTGTTTGTCTCAAGAAAAATGGGACCAACTCAGCACAGCAAAAGGAAAGAGGGAGGAACCTGAAGAAGGAAACTGAAAATTGGGCTGATGCCCTTTTGGGGTGGGGGGTGGGGAATCCCCTGCCAAATATTTGTTAATTGCAATATGAAGTCAAATCCCAAGGACAGGAATACAAATGAAGAGTTCTCTTATGAACATGTAGACCTACATCAATGTCAAGACCCTTGGTTAATCAAGATAAGATATTAACTCTCCAAGATTCTCAGCAAGAGTTTTTGACCCATCCCTGCAACCTACCTACTTACTCCTTTCCCCCCCCAAACCCTGGAAAATCTGAAACCTCAGTATCTAAAAGCTGCTAAAGATTTCTCCTCTAGCTGTCAGAGGAAGAAGTCTTCAAGGTGGCTTCATTTGCCTCACAGATGAGTGAAAATCCTATTAAACAGCAAGAGAAACAAAACAGCAAGACTAAAATCTACCCCAGCAGCAGATATTTCCGACCGGTTTGTCATATTCAGTACTATAGAAACTGAAACCTTCCTATCCTTAAAACTGGTCTGACACAGTTCAGTTTTTTTAACCTCTTACAAATTCAGATGTGGCCCTTTTTCTTAATGCTTCTTGCCATTTTTTTTATTCTGATCAATAGCCGCTATCGCATTGTCCACTACAGAGAGAGAGATCTTGCATCTGATGAATGAGTGGGGAATGTATGGCAACCTATCAATGCACCTACACATACAGTCATAGTTTCATCTCCCAATCCTGCCACCCTTCCTCTGAACTCTGCCCTGAGATGCCACTGAAAAGATTATGCCTATCTTTAGTTAGAGGCACAGGTGGGGGCGCAGCCTGAAGACACCAGGGAGTGTATCTTTTAACCTAGAGTAGTTAGGTGTCTGTGGATGTGACACGCCTCCCCCTCAGCCAGCCCCCCTCCATTTAAATCAAGTTGTCAAAATTCTAGTTGTAAGGTAGGGCTGAGGATCAGCAGGTGTATCTATCTCACATAATACGCCCATCTTTTCTCATCCCAAACCCCAAACAGGGGGGAAAAACCATTCTCAAACCTCTAACCTGGTCCATCCTTCTTGACACCCTCATCTCCGCAAGGCGGAGTGCAAAAGAAGCTGCTTCTTCTCTCCCCCCCCCCCCAAATCAAGGGAGAGCCGTACTTACTGCTGGTGCTCATGGTGATCCGGCGCCGTCCTTCTCATTCAACAAAAGGAGGGAAACGCTCGGCGAAATTCTCTCCGATTCCTTTCGTTGCCCCTGCCCTCCCTTCTCTTTTGGAGCAGAAATCCCCACCTTCCTGCTTTGGATCAGGTTCTTTTCTTTAAAAGAGAGAGCGAAAGAGGGAGAGAGAAGGGGGCGGGCGAGTATCCAGCTTCCCTAGAGAAAGAAATGTGTATCTCTCATCAATTGCAGTCTAAGCGATGCGCAGGTATTTCTCCTTGACCCGGTGCTATTCTCTCTCTCTCTCTCTCCCTCCCACTCTCTTTCTCTCTCTCGGCTTCGGTCTTTCGGCTCAGTCTTGGGCGGCCAGAGAATAAGGTCAGGGGTGGGGTTATAAACAGGAGCGAAAGGCAAACGGGGACGAGGAGGAGGAAGAGGAGGAAGAGGCGTCAGCGCCCTGGGAATCAGACAGGGCAAGGTGCCTTCTGGGCTCACACCCCCGCCGATCCCCGGCGCGTAGCCTTGTTCAGATCTTCCTCAGCTGGGCTTGGCTTCCCACTGCCGGCTGCTACGTCGTCTTCAGAGCCTGGAGCTGTCATGCAGTGCAGAGCGATGCCAGCTCAAGCCCAGCTAGAGCCGAAGGGGGTGTGAATCGGGGGGGGGGAGAGAACCGGGAGGGGAGCCGAATCGATGCGCACAGCTCGCTGATCGAACCAACTAGCCAATTCTTCCCTCCGGTATCTCCGGGTGTTCCCCCACCCCACCCCTCCTCCTTCCTCAGGACGGTTTACACAGGACTTGGAGCTCCAGGTCCTAAATCTACTCGCCCAGCGCCTGCCTCGCTTCTTTCAGCCAAGTTTGTCAATAGACGCCTTTTTCAGGTGCAGCGGGAGGAGTTTTCGTGAGGATGCGGCGGGGCTGGCTGCAAATTTGGATGGGAAGGGAGGACCGGGAGGAAGGGGAGGGAGGCGGGAAAATAGCTCCATTGGGCAGGGTTTGCTTGGCGACTGGTGAAAATGGGATGTTGCCTTCCGCCATCTACTGGTGGCAAAGTGGCTACCCTCGCAGCAGACATCGCATTCAGTTTGCAAGAGATAGAAAGGGGGGGGCACCCCTGTAAGGTGTCTTACATTATAATGTTGCTATTGTTAGTTGCGAAGTCGTGTCGTTCCTCCAGGCCTTCCTGTCCCCTACTATCCTCCGGAGTCCATTTTAGCACTGCTTCAGTCATCTAATTCCCATCTTCTTTTGCCCTCAATGGTTCCCAGCATTAGCCTTTTCTCCAGCCAGTTACTATATTAGGGTTAGTGAAAGCCCAATTACAGTAGAGTCTTGTGGAAATATTTCATGCTGTCTTCAAATATCAGTTGGGGGACTGCCTCAGACTTTATATAAAGAGAACATCATATTTGGGATGTGCTACAAATGATCATATAACACTGTAATGTAGAAACCTGTGCCAATATGTGGCAAACTATTGTTCAGAAGGCTGAACTTATTCCCAGGTATCACAAGTGGAAGGCTTAGATGGTCCCTTCAGACATTCCACCAACACCCAGTGTTTCTCAACCTTGGCTACTTGAAGATGTCTGGACTTCAACTCCCAGAATTCCCCAGCCAGCATTCGCTGGCTGGG